ATTTAGTTAAAAGAACAATATTCTACCCACAACCTAACTCAGTTTGATGTCAGAGCTGAGACATCTGAAAGGCAAATCTGACTAACTCTTTCGTCATGATATCGGTGGAAGAAATGTTCATCAAATGATATAAAAGAGGCAGTTTTTGTCGCTGTTTAAAAAACCGTTGCACGCGGGAAGAAAGAACATTCAAAAAGGCTCCACGAACTGCGCTCCTTGTAGAGTACAAGATGGTAAGTTATTGATATTTCCCTAAACCCTCCCAGTTTGATTCTTAGATTCCTAGACCCCAGTCCTACGTCCAGTTTACCTCTACAATCCCGAATCTCGTTTCCCGGCCCCATTTCTCCAAAAATCCCGAATCCTGGACTGAAGGTCGTTCTTTTGAAATAGCACCTGCTCTGGGATTTTCTTAAACCTTACCAACTGGTTGTTTATCTTATAGAAACGCTAATTTTGTAATAAAAAGGGGGATCCTGTGGTCGTTTAGGAGAAGTAGTGCCTTGTAGATACCCGTACTGACAACTCTTATAGCATCATGACAATTACAGTGTCGAGTACCTACTTCGAGTTTTTTGTCTGTTTATTACTTACTCTAAGCTGCCCGTTAGACACAGTTTTTGTATTTATCGCCGAGTGACGATGGAAAGCCAATGAGTAAACGTGATTTCTCATCTAGGAGTCAGTGATTTAAAAGTAAAAGTAATTTCATTGAAAAGATCACAGAAATTCAAACAGGAGCGAGCCTATAAGAATGGGGCTGAATATTAACTATCAACATTATTCGACCTCCTTGATTCAGCAACTTAACATTGCCTCTCTTTTTGACCAGAAATTAAAGCTGCTGTTTTCATGTCTTTCTCTGCTGACCATCACCGTTCAATCCATGTCTTTAATTGCAGAGACAAAGGTAAGAACGAGATCATATTTAATTTTTCATTCAAGGGCGAAGCGACAATTTCTGCTGGCGCTCATATTCTCATATACACGCGTGCGTGCTTCCCAAATTGCAATGGTGTCCCAATTTTCTCCTTTCTTGAAGTAAAGCCTCCACAGGGATGCTAGTTGCCGCAAACATATGAAAATGTCTTTTAGTATTTGTCTCGACGTATGAAGGATACAAACGCTCGATTGATTTAAATCTCAAAACATATATTCCCGCATCTGATGAAACTTCTCTCTTCTTAGAGTTCCGTGACTAAATATTCTCTGGAGCTGTCA